ATTCCACTGCAATCAGTGCAAACAATAGTCTGGCATAGAGGAGGGACCCAATACAATCAAGATCAATTTAATGATTCCCTAGTGTGTGAGAGATGTTGGATCTGGCAATGCAGATGGGTGGTATGAATAAGAAAGGGAAGGTCCTGACTCTCAAGGATCTCTGAATCTTCATGGAAGTAGACGCCTTAGTAGATGCTCCCATGTCAGATGCTGCGGGGTGCGAGGAGGGCGCTATTCACAGTGGGTGAAGGGATAGGGCAAAGCGCAAGTCACCAGCACTTGGACAGAAGGCAAGGTGTCTAGGGTAGAGAGGGAACAGAGAGCCAACAGCTCCCATTGCTGTTTAAGTTTCCTGGGGCTGGAAAGCAGAACACGATCCCCACTTTCTTTGAGGAACCCTGGAGGAACTCAGGGTGCAGGCAGCAGCGGCAGCAAATGGTAAGAAGAAATGGTGGGAAGAAATCAGAAGAGCTTCACCCTGAGCCCTGGAAGAGTCCTTCCACCCATCACCCCATATCTTCCACCTGCTCGGCAGAGTCCCTTCCCTCCTAGGTCCCATGACCTGTGCTTCATTTGTCCTTTTGATGCCTCCCTGAAACCTGGAAAGTCTTATTCAGTGCTTCTGGCTCCTGTAGACTCTTCCTCCATCTGCTCTGATATTAGCTCAGTGAGTCTCTCTGCTCTTAACCAGGAGGGATGTCACCAGTCGGTGGTGTCAGGCCCCAAGATACCCTGATTTCCCTTCCCTGCATTCTGCCCCAGGCCTGCCCACCCTCATCATCTTTGCCGTGCCTTACCCAATCTGTGCCCAGCACCTCCCCCATGATCTTAAGGCCAGGTGATGTGATGCAGGAGGCCCTCTACAGCATCCCTGACTAAACATGTCCACTCACTGGGAACTCATTGCCTCTTGAGTCAACTCTTTCTATTATGGGACAATTCAGTTATAAGAAACTTCTTCCTTGCATTAATGGGAAAGTTACTTTGCTGCAACTTTTATGTATTGGCCCTGGTCTGACCTTTAGGGCACCGTGAATAAGTCTAACTCATCTTCCACAGCTTCAAGGCTAAGCATGCAGACAACCAAGATTCAAGTCCCTGCTCTGTCATTCACTTGCTCGGTAGTGCTGGACGATTGATTTCCTTACCTTCCTCGGCCTCCATTTCCTCGTCTGGAAAATGGAGGTGATAACAGCACTTAGCTCATAAGAGTTATATCAAGATTGAGTGAATTAATAGATACAAATTAATAGATACAAAGCTCTTAAGATAGCAATTGACACATAATAAGGGCTCAGTAAATTCTATTATCTGAAGAGAGCTGTCTTATGTCCTGCTTTAGTCACTCCCTTTTTCCTTAACATCCTTTTAAAAATACACTTCACATAGCATGAATCCTACATCCCTCCAGCCTTTGTTTCTCTTGCATTTTAGTTTGATTCACACTCTCATGATGCCACCCCCACTGAAAAGTGGAGTCACTGCTCCACATGACCTGGAAGCTGTTCTTCTACTAATGTGGTGATGACTAACTTCGATGAAGCTGTATTACCCAGGGGCTCACGGTGACCTTGTGGCCAGCTCAAATCCCAGGGATGAGTGCTCCAAGAAGTTCTCTCTCCTCTTCTACCTGTGCAAGTGCTCCAAGCTCCTCTGCACCCTCTAGACTTTCCAGGTATGCAATCTGTATGTTCTCATGTGTCTCCTCCTCCCTATTCCCTAGGCTCCATAGCGGCTCTTTATTTAAAGGGTGCCTAGTCTTAAAGCAGACCAGGTAATCTTCCTCTTCAACAACACCTTGCAAATTGAGCACACAATCATTGTAGGTTTTGCTTGAGTTGTGCCTGCTTATGGTGAACCTTTGTCTGTCTTCCTGTCCTCTGTGAAGCATTGACTTTAGCCTATGCAGGAGTAAGGTCTTATCCTTATTCTATCTATTCCTTCCACATGCTCAAGGCTCACAGGGCAGCGGCCTGGCCTGTGGTGTTTTCTATGTGTCTCACAGAGAGCAGCACGTGAGCAAATACGTGATGCAGCACCTAGGAGGATCTTGTGGTCCTGCTGCTGCTTGTGAGTCTCTGTTTCCTCTCAGCTTCCCCACTTGGGGACATCCTGTTCCTCTGGCTGCTATGGATGAGGGCCCAACAGTCTGAAAGACGCCTGGCCAGGCAGGGAAGAAGTGAGTAGCTCTGACGCACCCTACTTCCCTCCCCTCTCCAAACTCTTGGCTATTTTTTTTTTTTCTTTATTTTCCTTCCTGTGTTGAAAGAGCTATGGGGCCTGGACCATGGTAGGGTTTCCTGGGGACATTCCATAAATTCCTCATGGGCTGTTTCTCTGGAGAGGGTGGGGGCAAGTGGCTGGGTAAATGGGAGGCCAGCGGGGAGCCTGGGTGTGAAATCAGGTACCTCAAAGGAGTGTGGGTGGAAAGGAAGGGTAAGCTGCATAGAGGAGGAAGGAGGGGTATAATGAGCTCATAGCAACAGTCAAAGAGAGGACAAGAACAGTGAGAAAGAGCAGGCAACTCACAGGTTGGCACAAGCTGTGGGTGACCACGCCCCCAGCCTTGCTCTTGAACCCACTGACTTGCTTCCACAGTGACTTGTCTGCTAGGGCTCCTGTAGGGCTCAGAGAACTTGGCCGGCCTGGGTGTGTGGCTTGGAAAGACTCCAAGGAGCCCCCTGCATGTGCTGTGTGAGATGCACAGAGACATGGAGAGGATCAGCACAGGGGTCCCTTGAAGATGGGGTCGTTGTTTCTTTATTCGTTCCCCATTCACCTCATGCATCCAGCCAATGCTCATCCCTTAATTCAAATCCAGGGCTAAAGAGAGTGGAGATGGTAGCCTCTGGCTGAACTCTGTAGCAAGCCTGAGCCTGAAAATGATTCCTAGCCTCCATCCCTGGGCTCCACAGCTGCTTCTTTAAGTAAAAAGGGTGCCAAGTTGGGGGTCAGGGCAAGAAGTGACTTGTCCTAGGTCTTTCTGAGTGAACAAGTCAAGTTTCTTCCCTAGGTCTTATTTTCCCTGCTGAGAAATGGCGGTATTGGGCAGCTATTAGGCTCTCTAAGATTTCTTATTTTCAACCGTTTTGGAGCCCATCGGATGAGTGAGCACTTGGTGAAGCAACTCAGGAGGAAAGAGAGAATACGTATGAAGAAAGCATGATTTTCCTTGAATAGAACTTTCGAGAGAATGAAGAAGACAAGAGACTCACACAAATAGAATCTGTACCAGCAACCAACACTGAGAGAAAAGGACAATGGAAAGCTCTGATCACCAGCCCGTGGTTGTGGCTTCTACCGCTCCTTAGAAAGGCTTAGTGCTGGGGCTGGGAATGTGGCTCAGGCGGTAGCGCGCTCGCCTGGCATGCGTGCAGCCCGGGTTCGATCCCCAGCACCACATACCAACAAAGATGTTGTGTCCCCCGAGAACTAAGAAGTAAATATTTAAAAAAAAATTAAAAAAAAAAAAGAAAGGCTTGGTGCAATTTAGAAAATGGTGGCCCCTCTGGGCAGAGGAACTAGGAAGAGAAAGATCCACTGGGCAGATGCCTAAACCACAGAGTAGATGGCAGGACAAGGAGAGCTCAGGCTGAAGTTCAACCCCCACAAGGCCTGTTGGCCCAATGCCGTGTACCAGAAGAAATTTTCCCAACTAGATGTTGTAACCCTGGCTGAGAAGGGAAGTGGCCAGCCTCAAGGGTCCAAGAGGAGCTGTGTCCAGTAGAATAGGCCACTTTTCGATCTTAGTGAACAAACAGGACAAGTCTTTCCTGTTCCCTTTTTGAGAAAGCAAACCAAAGGACTAGGTTTGTCCCCTCTGAAATGTACTGGAACGTCAAGACAGGGTCCTCAGCCCCAGGCAGAGAAGAGCACACAGAATAAGAGTAAGTAGGGTCCGTTTCCAAGAACCAGAGAGCTCTGGAAGGTTCAGACCAGTTCTTGTCACCTTCGCTGGGGTGAAGCAGAACAAGCAGAACATGGAAATTCTTCCTCAGGCTTTCTCCCAGCCACCCTCCTTCCATATTCCAGACAGCAGCCCTCCCAGGTCTCTGAATGGGGATTAAGAGGAAGGAGCTCCAGGGGGAATGATGTCAACATCAAAAGGTGAGACACAGGAGGTTCTGCATGTGCGCTGACCCACAGGTGCTGGGACTGAGGAGAGGTAGCGGGAGGTAAACTGGGAAAAGGGGATTAGCTAGGAGCGGAAAGAACGTAGCTGCTATAATCCCACATAATGAACCGGATTGTGCTCCCTGTCCGCGCACTAAGCGCTAGACAAGCAGGTACATGCTCCTGGCTTCAGCTTGCTGCACCAGAGGACTCCCATGCTGCCAGCCTCAGACAGCCTGTTCCCTCCAGCTGGCAGAGGCATCCAGGGAGGCAGGGGATGAAATGTCTACTTCCTCCAAACTGCTCAGATCTGAGTGAGGAGATGGGGAGGGAAAAGTCTACGACTGCAGGAAAAGACAGATGCATGGCCTCTCGCCTGGGCTTCACCCACCATCAGAGAGCAGCGACCGTCCTTGGCCCTAGCTCTTCAGAATTCAGACCCACAATGTGCTTCAACCAACTTCTTTCAGTCTGCAAATGCTCTTGACCAGCACAATCAATTCTACAAGTCCTAGCGAGGGGTTTATAATGTGGGTTATTCATAGCATACATACTAAAAAAAAAAAAAAAAATTCGTTTTTGTTTGTTTTGGGATTGGGGGTTGTTTTTTTTTTCCACCTTAGGCAAGGTACTGTCCCCATTTCTTGAGATTTGGCAATACTGAAATATGTTTGTGTTCCCTAGACATCCACTGACTGATGGCCAGAGGACACAGTCAGAAGATGAGCCACAAAATTGACCCCTGCGTATCTCCCTTTCTACCCTGTTTTCCCCAAGAAAATGAAGAGGTGTTTGTAGTTAAATCTTTGCCAACAGCCACCTTCCAGAAAAGACCCTCTGCTGAGGGGCAGAAGGGCATCAGAGCAGCCAGGCTCACAGACTCTTACCTTCTTCAGTTTGCCACTCTTGGTGCCCACAAAGACCACACTGTAGCCATTGTAAACGTAGGAGGCCACGGAGGTCATACGGTCCCGACTGGTGGTGTAGAGGGTCAGCCCCTCCACTGGAGTGGAGCCTCCGAGGGGCTGATTGATGTCCAGTCCACAGAAGTTGTCATCGATGGGGACCGGCTGGAAGGGAAAGGAGTTGGCATGAAGAACAGTGAAGGCATAGCAGAGTCACTTCAAATTATCCCCATTTTTAGTCGCCAGCCAGAGGCCACTCAGCCTCACACAGTCACAGGCATGGGGCTCCGGGCTGTAACACATGCTGCGAACCAAAGTTCTCCACCAACTGGACCACAAATCGCATGCCTGCTGGCTCTGGTGGCATCAGATCATGAGCAGTCATCTTCCTTCATCTGGAGTCACCTGCACCCACCCTTCTGCCAGGAGAATCAGGCTCCATTTGTAAAGTTTATTGCTTGAATTCATTTTCTTGTGATTTTAATGTCCCTGTGGACCATGTCATTCTGTGACACTCTTTCTATTTTAGACAAGGGTCTCCTCAGTGGACATTAACCCTTAAGGTAACATAAAAAAAATTTCTACATCCAGGAGAGAGTTTCTCTCTCTCTCTCTCTCTCTCTCTCTCTTGAGAAAGCTCATGTTCCTTGAGACACATCTTGAACCACTCAACTCTCATTGCTATCTGCTACCCTGGGAATACTTGGCAATTGTCA